CTCGCGTTCTGACACCAATTGTAACCCTTTGCTTGCAGAACTTGAAATCCTAAATACGGGAATCCCACCTAAGATGGTATACATAGTTGGATAGAAGCGAAGAAAATGAATGCAATCATAAATTGAGTGTGAGAAATAACTAAAAAAAAAAAACGAAATCACACTACAACAATACACTATTTACGTGCTTCACCCCGTAGAGTGATGTCCACGGCCTCGATAAGTAGAGATCCATTATCTCAATGAAAATTATAATTTTAGATTATAAGAGATATACCTTTCTTTAAACATTGGCAAAAGCCTCATCAATTTTTTCTTATATATCCACCCACGCAACTGTGCAACCACGTCGATTAACCTTATCTTTCTCACCGCTACACTACTATAAAAAATAGAACTTTGAGAGCATTTGAGAAACTTTATCTCTCAAAAAGTAAAAGTTTAACCCAAAACCTTATGGGAATACCGCTTCTCTTGGAGGTTGAGTCTCTCTCTTGGAGATCCATTTCTTTCTTGGAGATCTTTTCTCATAACCCCTATTGGGTGCCCAAAAGTGTGAGTACTAACTAGGGTTTCTTTCTTGCTCCACGAGAAATTCTTTTTCTACATGGAATGTATATAATGAGACAATTTACTTTTGGTGTAAGGTGGTTACAATAAATCTTGACCATTGGATGTGAAATTGGGTGGCTATATTTATTTTATTGACCAAGCTCAAAGTTCAAAATAATTTTTCTTGAACTTCGTGACACACCCAGGCTATCAGATTTCACATCGGATGATTGTACGTAATTGTGACCTCCCTATTCCAAAGGTAATGGTCTCATCCTTTTCTAAAACCCCTATTGTGTGCCGAAAAGTGTAAGTATCATGATTCTTTGACTTCGTTACATAAAAATCACTGGGTTTTCTTTGTTGCTTCCCAAAATAACTCTATTTTTTTTAACCATATTACCCTTGATATTTTGAGGAAAATATAAGTGTGATCAAACCTAATTTTCAAACTATTAAAAGGGGTCAGCATTTGATAGAGAGAGAGAGAGAGAGAGGAAGGTGTGTCCGAACCTGTAAAAGTCGTTTGGGGAAAAAGGCATATCAAAAGTAAAGGCACATTAGCTAAACTTGGATTCGATATCCAGTGCAAAGACAAATGGAGAAAAGCGTTGAGCACTGAGGGCCTGTTTGGGTTCAACTCCCTTCTCTAATGCAAAGACAAATGGAAGGAAATGGAGAAAAGGGTTTAGGTTTGTGTTCAGCTCCCTTTTGAACAAGTAAATGTATACGAGGTTCTTCCAAATAAATGTATTTTGGCCTCTACCCCCCATACTTGGAGATCCATGTCCTTATCCATCCCAATACCTTTCCCTACTTTAAAAACATACATCACAAAAACTCCAAATCAAGTCCATGAAGACGCAAGAGAGAGATATTGTTTACAGTCTACAATACATTTTCCAACCCAATTTCAGAGAGAGAGAGAGAGAGAAAGAGATTCTTTACAGTTAGTTTACACTACATTTTCCAGCCCTATTTCAGAGAGAGAGAAGTTGCATCGCTTTATTTAGTAAAAATTCCTTTAAACAACCCTTTAATGCCCTAGTCCCTCGTGTTTCCTCTATCGAGCCTACATAAGCCTTCTTAAATATTTTCATCGCTTGCCTTTTAAAACCCTGAAAACTGCGGGAAACCATCAAAGTAACATTTTTATTTTGCCTTGTATAGCATACTCTGGCGGGAGCATCGTGTGCATTTAATCCCTCAGGCAAACGACGATTCTTTCTCGTATAAAATCTTGAGATCCACTTTAAAATTGCCAGATGAACACTTTGAGAGAGAAAGAAAAAAAAAAGAAAAAAGGATCGGCATAAGACCTACTTAAGAGGATTCTGAATTTTTGAGATCTACTTTAAGATCACGAGATGATTACTTCAAAAAGAAAACGAATTTGAATTCTTAAACACATAGATCGGACCGACTAAAATTTCGACGGTCATGCGTTATTTTCTTAGGCAAATGTAGACTCTTCTTCTTCTTCTCCTCATTCTTTTTTTTTTTTTTTTTTTTTTGCTAGATTGAAAAATTTATATTCTCAAAATTTGTGGTCCTATAAAAAAAATGTTCCTAGAACAGATTTTTCCGTAAGTTACTTGTAAATGGATGAAATGCTCCGGTGGGAGCATATAATTTTTTCGCCTTCTATTTTCTTTCTTTTTGAAAAATAATACTCAAAATATGATCTAGACAAAGACGGGGTACGAGGGCCACAAGAGAGTGAGATGAGATTCCAAAGTGAAAGAAAGCTTACAAAATTTATATTAAAATTATAGGAGATGGATAAGGAGGAAACTACCAACTTGCAAATTAAAATCTTAAGTAGACTTAGAGACAGTTCCCTTTCTAATATGATTCTAAGAGAGATGGTGAAGTTTCACCCATTAAACAAAGTCAACTTATGTATTTTTATGATCTATTTATTCTATATGGAATTAAACTTATAATAAACACTTAAAAAAAAGAAAACTTGTAATATGGATACAAAATTTGAAGGACACTCCTTGACATAAACGTGATTAGCAATATAGTATAAAAATTTAGAGAAGGGGTTAGGTCGTGGTGGTAACACCACCATACCTAGATACTACATTGTAGTTTCCAATCCTACTAATCCATTTAGTAGCAAATTCGAAAAAAAAAAAACGTAAAAAAATATTTAGAAAACAAAAAATGTGTCAGTCGTGTCGTTTCCTATATGTACTCTTGGTTTTTTTAGATAAGGAAAATGTTTGGAAATATTGATAAATTTTTGGAAAATTTATTAAAATACTCATCATATTTCAATTATTTGACATTTTTTTACCAATTTTCTACTATTATGAGTCAAAATCACGTCTATCTTGATAGAAAAATTGAAATTAATTCAAAACATGTGGGCAAAATGCTAAGTGGTTAATCTAATGCACGTATTTGGACAAATTTCTCTTAAATAGATTTATTTAAAAACAAAGTGGCAACCATCGATTGGTTATAACTTTCTTATTAGAAAAAAAAATTAGGGAAGTCTTTTTATGTCACTGTAGTTGCAGTTCAAGTGACGCTGCAATTGCAGTTCAGGTGCACCTAAAAAATCCATCATGGAGAAAATTAAGTACATAAAACTGATGAAATTTATTCTTTAGTCCTCCAAGTTCATGGATTCTAAGAAAAAAAAAGGGATTTGGAGCCCTGAACTCTCCATCTTGGTTGCCGTCTCAATGTCGGTTGTGAAAGTCGATTTCAAGATCTTGATTGGACCGCCCATTTCAACGTCTAATAGTTTCTGAGTTGGTTATAGCCAACTGAGCTTTCACGTAAGGGATGCTATTTAGTCTAGATGATGTGGATGCTTAAAACTTGCACAAGCACCTTGTAATAGTTCAGATTGAATCAACCTCATTCAAGAGTAAAAAATAATTTTTTATTTTTTACTTAAAAACAGTATTAACCTTAGCTTCATTTATAGAAGTAGAATTGAATAAAAATAATAAAGAATGTTTTGAATAAAAAACAGTGATAAAAATAAATTTAAAGGTATTTTAATTCTTTTTATTTAAAATGTTTTTGAATATTTTCTATTTAGTTATCATAATAATATACTTCAAAAGTAAGATAAATATTTGATTAAATTAAAATGTAAAATATGAAACTAATTTTTGGCCATTAGCTTGTCCATTCCCAAAGGGTGCTTGTGCACTCTTCCGATGCGATGCGGACATGATACTGTCCTTCTAAGAAACCGGAACCATGAAATTAAAGCTACTCCTGACGAGAGAGACGGAACGAGTGTTTTCTTAAAGGGGTGCCATTTCTATAGAGCCGAGGCTCTAAACAATCAAAATAGAACACACTTTTAAATGGTGTCGAAAAATATCGTTTCAATACTGGAAATATTTAAGATAGCCTTAAAATATATTTTTATATTTAATTATAAAATTTAAAACTAAAGAAATACTGTAGATCGAGCAGATCTATGGAAACTTGAAAATCTTAAAAATTGACGGTCCAAAAATGCATTACAAAATGCACTGCTTTTAAAACTTGAAATCGATTATTTTCTCATGTCCATACATCTTGATGTCGAGATGATCAATTTGAGGATATTTGGGCATAAAAAAAACCTCTTATAATGAAAATTTTGAGGCAGGCTCAAATTTGATTGTTTAGAGCCTCAGCTCTATATGAACTTTTCCTTTATTCAAACATGGCCACGTATTTGAGAGTTTTTTTTTTTGGTTTTTTTTTTTGTGGGCAATGGGGTCATGAATTAAAAGAGAGACATGATTGTTTGTGTCCTTTGGCCAAGTGGTAAGGGTGAAAGAAGGCTGGGGACACACTAAAATCTAAGCCCCGAATCTCATCTTTCCTAACCAAAACACAAACCGATCAAGTAGGATCGATCGCAATACCATCTTTTAAGATGTAGAATATAATATTATCGGCACGGCACCCACAAGAGAAGAGAAGAGATGGCTTTATAGGTATCAAAAGGCAAAAAGATTACAAAGTTAATAAAAAAAAGAAGGGAGGGAGAAAAAAAAGAGTATACAATGATATCATTTACTCACTTTTGGTATGAGACGGTTATAATTATTATGTGATTATTAGATGAAAAATTGGGTGGCTGTATTTATTTTCTTGACCGAACTTAAAATTAAAAAAAAAAAAATTCAAACTTTGTGACCTTAGTGTCCTAAAGGTAGATGGTCTCGAGTCCCAATTTTTTTCTCCATAGATTTGGGATAACTGTAATCGATAGAGACAAGAAAAGTGACGGACTATTTAAATGGGGTGGACGCGCATGCTTTACATCACCTATGCCCCCACAGCACTAATAAAAAGCTCCACCAACTTTGGCAGTACCACATGAACATCACTGATCTCTCTCTCATCAATGATCTCTCTCTCTTATTTTGGTCACTTTTTTTCTCTACAGTAACTGATTAATTCATTATAAAAGCACCCCTCTACCTCTTCTTGTGCATTATGCTCCCATCTCACTACAACGGCATCAAATCCAAGACCCAACATGGCAACTGCAGTTCTTGATTATGAATCACAGACGCTACCACTTGCAAACATACCAAGCACCTCAGACATCAAGAGACGCCTTGGCTTCTCTGAGCTCTATGCCCCTACTTTCCTTAGAAAGGTTAAACCTCAAAACCACTCCAACTCTCGTTCATTTACCCCTTTTCTCTTTTGGACTTCTTGATTTTTATATATGGTTTTCTCTCTCTCTCTCTCTCTAGGTTGTTGCAGAGATGATTGGCACATATATGCTAGTTTTTGCCACTTGTGGGGCTGCTGGCTTGAGCAAGAATGATGACCAACTGGTTTCAAGGCTAGGGGCTTCACTTGTAGGAGGGCTCATTGTAGCAGTGATGATATACTCAATAGGGCACATATCAGGGGCTCACATGAACCCTGCGGTCACTGTTGCCTTTGCATCAGCTAGGCATTTTGCTTGGAAACAGGTAAAATTATTTTTGGAAATTCTACTTTGTGTCTCCATATATATGTATGTGTTTAGAGGCCTATAGCTTTCTGATCTCGAATTAAAATGTGACATTATCGGCTCTTACCCAACCATCCCATGAAGATTGGATAATTCAATATATCCAAATACGTATAAAATTAGATTTATATGGAAACACGCATAAAACTTGCATGATACTTGGGTGCAGTTTGTATAGGGCCGAGGCTCTAAAAATCAAAATAAATCGCACCTTCAAATATTGTCGAGAAACGTAGTTTCAAAATTGGAAATCTTTGCGATAGCCTTAAAATATATTTTTCATAGCTAATTATAAAATTTAAGTATTGAAAATAGTGTACATCGAACAGTTCTATGAAAACTTGAAAACTGACGATACAAAATGCACTATTTTCAAAACTTGAAGTCTATTGTTTTCTCATGTCTATACATATTGAGGTCGAGATGATCAATTTGTGGATTTTTGGGCATCAAAACAACCTTTTCTAGTAAATTTTTTGAGGTGTACCTTTCAAAGACCCTGGGACTTATATAATATTTTTTCCTTCTTTTTAATATGTAAAAGAAACCCTAAACTGTATAACTACATATGCACTTCAAAAATCCATTGGAAAAATTTGTTTTAATGTTGAAAAAATCACTAATTGATCATATCGACATCGAGATGTGTTAATATGCAAAAAAAAAAAAAAGATTTCCATTCCTAAAAATAATGCATCTTGCAATACATTATCTAGACCGTCCATTTTCAATATTTTAATATGTTTATAGATCTACTTGATTTTAACCATTTCCGGAGTTTGAAATTTTATAATTAGATATGAAAATAGATTTTGAGAAAATCCTAAGAACTGTTTTTACCAAAATTACATGTTATGATAAAATTTGGAGGTGCGCCTTAATTAGATTGTTTAAGGTTGCAACCTTGAAACCACACCCATAAGTAAATCGTTTAATACTGTAAATTTTCTTAGGTGGAAAGGTTTTTATACGATGAGTTATGGTGAATTGCCCATCTATTTAACTGGATGAACATGAAGATTAAACTTAGGTTCGGACAATGGACTTTGCCGGGTTGTGGATGGTCACTACCGTTCATTGATGGAAGCGGACGGCGGATGCTTCCATCGTGTCCTATTTGCCACAATCTGCAGTGTACAGTGTGATTTCAATTATCTAAAGGCGTAAAATCAAGGGTAGGTTTCGTTCATGGGAATGCATATCACCCATGGAAAATACTTCCCATAATGGCATCCCTCCAATGCAAAAAATATGGGAAATTAGTTTCATTCCTATCATGGGATGAAATTGCTTCCGGAACCGGGCTAGAATAGTGTTCAGGTGTTGGTTCAATTTTTGGACCCATATCTGCGCATGGATTGAGTCTACCCCTTGGGTCCGGGTTCATTGCCACCCCTATAGGAAATCTCTTCTGGAGGAGATTTCGATCGACCCAAACACAACGTTAAGGCCCATAACATTCATTTAGAAGATCAGGTATAACCCTATAACCGTTTTCTTTAAAGGCTGGTGATAGTGTTGATATTATTGAGAATAATGTGACTGTACCTTTCTTGCTTCTAGTTCTAGTGTCTTGCCTTTGGTTAGAGGACGCATACCACAAAATAATGTGTGTTTTCAAGAACTTTCATTGTCATGCCATAAAAATGAAAGTTCTTCTCACGTGTCCTGTATCACCAAGGGAGGCAATATCCAAATTAGGGGCATGGTTGTAATATTATGAGGTAATGGGGGCAATCTTGAAGTAAGGTATATTTTAATATTTGAATAGATTATAGAAAAAAAATGGTTGAAGAAATTATAAGAACATAAAAAGAAAATGATGTTGATGCATGGTTTTGAAGTTGGGTTTGTATATTATGAGGATGACGACTAGGGGTGATTGTGACTATTTTATACCAAATAAAAATTTATGAATTTGACGTTTACATTTACATCATATGCGTATTGCTTGATAAATGGGCTTTGGGTATAGGTGATTAGGGTCCTACATGACATAACATGATGTCTAGAGTTCTATTTTTTCTGTAAAATTATTTAAAAAAAAAAAAAAAAAAAAAAGGTTTCCTTTTTAGTCAAAAAGGTAAAGTGTATTGTTTTTTCTTTCCTTGAATGATTTTGAATCCCAACTACCCAACCAAGAAAAAAAAAGAAAAAGAAAGAGTTTATATTTCATGACAGACTAGGATCACTGGCTCTGTATACCTCAAAAACAACGCATATTGAGTCTAACCATATAATGTTTGTAAAATGGACATACATTTTTTAAAGATTTCAATGCCACTTTTGAGGAGCACGGAAGCATATTTTAGCTATGCCCCACTAGGTTAGAATCTCAACTAACATACCTTCATAAATAAATAAAAAGGAACAAAAAGAAGAGCATGCGTAGTATAATCCTGTACGAGTATATTATATATTTACTCCACGACTAAAAAGATTTCTTTTGAAATAATTTTTAATGTCAAATTTTATGATCTACTTTAAAATCATCATATGTATTCTAGAGAGAAAAAATAGATAGTGAGCTCCTAAATGCTTAAATTTGATTGTTGAAAAATTAGAAGGTCTTTTTCAATATTAGGATGTTATTCCTTTCAAGCACTTATATAATATATAGAACTTGTTTTTTTTTTTTTATTTATTGAAGCTGGTATCTAGGTTGAGGAGGTTACATCCCCCAAAATTTGGGGTCGCCGTGGTTGCACCCCCCATACCTAGTTATCACGTCCAGTCTTGCTGACATGACCCACTGAAACCTTAAAAAAACAGCCAACTCCAAATCTATTTGAAAAATAAAAAAGGCGTTTATTCCCCACGAAATTACCCAAAAAAAGAAAAGTTTCACCCAAGAGTGAATTTGTGGTATGTCCAGAAGAAACATAAAATCTTTGGGGAAAACAAGGAAAGGAAAAGTATACTACATACATGGTCCACTAGCTATGAGCCTCAAAAGAAAGTGAAGTGCTGAAAATGACATGATATGAAAACGAGAACACCATATTTTGACATGTTCCTGACAAATACACTTTGAAATAGATGGAAAAAGAAAACGAAGCTATATTCATGGGGGCATATTTCCATATTGTACCATACTTATAAAGAGCGGACCAGTCAGGACCGATGCTCCGACTGGCCGGATTACTGACAAGTGCCTCGGCCTAAAGTAAACATCCGATTTGGTAAATAAGGATCAAAATCAGTGTTTGACTGGTACCGACCGGTTGGTTTTGATCGGATCGACTTTATTCAACGTTTTCTAATATATTATATACTTTTATACTATTATTATATATTTCTTAATACTTTTAAAGCGCTGTCAAACCTTTTCGATCGGCAATAGGACCGATGATGGAGAACTGCCTGGCCTATACAATAGAGGAAAACATAGGGTGATAATTAAACCCTTTACGATCGTTTCAAGTACATTTCGGTAGAGGTGCAAAACGGGGTTAGGTAGCCAGCGTTCTAGTCCGTAACCTGGTGGTGGACCGAGCAAGTTGGGACCAGGTCCAAGAACCCAATCTCGTTGGTATCAAGTCTTGAATGATCTTAAGACCTCCTTGTAATAAGTCTTCTTGGGCAATTAGTTCTCAAATTGTAAAAATAAACCTGGATTGAATAATTGAATCCCATCTAACAGGATAGACCAGATTCAAATTTCAAAGAATTGGTGATACTTTTGCAGGTTCCTATCTTCATAATGGCTCAGTTAAGTGGAGCAATTGTTGCATCATACGTACTAAAAGTTATACTGGACCCAATCACTGAAATAGGGATTACGGCCCCCTCCAAATCTCCATTTCAAGCCTTGGGAGCGGAAATTGTTACCTCATTTGTTCTAATGTTTGTCACATCAGCAGTTGCAACAGATTTTAAGGGGGTAAGCCCTTCAAATATTTCCACTTCTTTTTTTTTTTTTGGTCTCAAGCTAAGTTTTAAGATTGTTTCCCCACAATTTCCTTTATTATAGTTATGTTGTTTTTGAGGTGTATTTTCACTCATTGTAAGCATTATAATGTGCAATTTTCCAGGCTGGGCAGCTTGCGGGTATGGCATGTGGGTGTGCAGTGACAATCACCTCAATTTTTGCAGGGTATAATATCATCTCCTTGACTAATAAACTTGAAAACATCGGTAATGTTATTTATACACAAATAAAAGTATTTGGTGAGTCCGCCTACTTAGGCATCCGCCTTTGTTTTTAAAGGATTTTGGACGTGGAACCAGTGTTTCAATACTCAGCCGAGTTATTGGCTTGGGTCAAGGCTGAGCCTGAGTCAAGTTTGAACACATTTCCTAAAATACACATCAAATCACTGTAAATCCATTTTCTCTTCAAATCTATGAATTTGGAGCTCCCAAGATAGTGCAAATCTCATGGTTTTTGAAGAATTAATATAGAATATCCAAAAACAAGAAAAAATATATCGATTCAATTTTTTTTTTCCCCCTAATTGATGAATGTGGTGTTCTTTAAGGATAGAAAATTATTTTGGATTTCAAGAGAGATTGATTCACTATAACAAGTGAGACTGGGACGTACTTAAACACTGTCCCATATATAATACCTGATAAAGTTGTATTGCTCCTTTCACATCAACTATTTTATTACAAAATTATACAACACCCCGAGCCATCCAAACTATACCGTGGCAATTGGGGTGTAACATTGTTATATACACAAAGTCCGATGAAAATTTTCTCAGACTTCTTGTAATAAATGATACACCTACGGCCCCTCAATTTCACATAAGTAGTTATGAATCAGAGTAAATTTTTTGTACCAAACATAAATAATTTTAGTATATATATATATTTTTAATATGAGTAATGATTCTACGAGACCCTCTTACATCTATGTGTGTAGGATTTTAAATGATCACTATTAAATATAACACAGATATCTAAAAAAGTCAAGTCCCACCCATGTGATAACTTTTCTAGAGATCTGTGCCATATTTAATGGTGATATTTTAAGGTCCTGCACACATAAGTGTGAGATGGTTTCATAGAATCATTACTTTTTAATATATATATATATATATATGAGAGAGAGAGAGAGGTTGTTGAGATTTTTTATTTGTATAAAGTAAGTACAATATGCCCCTAGAAGGAAATTTGTTTCATGCGGGATGGACCGCATTTCTACATATGCAGTTCAAAAAGTGTAAAGCATCTGTCTTAGATATGGATGCAAGTAGGTGTTCCATTTAAAAACAATAAAAACTAAGGGTTTAAATGTTTTTTTAATAAAATTATTAATTTTAGTTTTTAAAATTTATTTATTTATTCATATTCATGATCTCAAAGTCAGAGATTACATATCTTTAAAAATTAAGTCTTAAAATCCATCTCAAAAATAGATTTATTAGAAGACTTATATTTCTACACATGCTGGCTTGACCCGCATAAAAACCGGGTGCCCCCATAAAATTCACACATCTCATGTGAATTACCCCATCACTGAGCCACAGAGAGGTAGTTGAGATTTACATGAGGTTATTATCAAATCATGTTTGCTTAGGCCAATTTCTGGAGGATCAATGAATCCCGCAAGGACACTGGGTCCAGCTATCGCATGGAAGACCTACAAGGCAATATGGGTCTACATAGTGGGACCACTTATTGGGACTAACTTGGGTGCGTGGTCCTACAGTTTGATACGTGATGCTGAAAAGCCCTTCCGTCCCTTACCTTAAGGCTTTTCTCCTTCACTACAAGTGAGGCACCTTACCAAAGAGGCATCAATGGCAAGTGATTAGCCATATGTAGTTTTGTAAAATCTCTGCCAAGTAGTTCCACTTGTTAGTTCTTTTCCCTTTTTTTTTTTTTTCTCTTTCTTCTTGTAGCAAGAAGAGCTTGAATGTACATTGCTATGTATCATGTTAGTTAAATATAGAAGGTTGAGCTCTATATGACTTGTTGCTCGGGTATTACGTGTGTATTTTATTTTGGAAAAGTATACAATTAGACTATTTACCTTTAGTACAGAAGGTCATAATTACTCTATGATGTTGGATGTGAAATTTGGTAATTTGAGGTGTATCATTAAATTAACTGGACTCAAAATCTAAAAGAAATTTTTTGAAGTTTGTGAGATATCCCTTAAATTTCACATCTGACAGTTGAAAGTGATTGTAACATCTTTATATTAAATATAATTAGATATAAATTGTCTTATAATAAACAATTCTTTTTATTTTTAAGCTGCACTTATCTTATTTTTGCATTGAAATAGCGAAATTGACCTGCATTTTTTATCCTTAGTAGGTTGCTTTCTCGAGCACGTCATTTAGATCAAGTTAGTATATTCGCTTAGCTTAGGCGGAAAATGCCTCCTAAATTGAAGTGAAATGAATCATAAAGATCCTTTCCTTCAGGGTGTGCTTCATGCCTCTTCAGATTTCTTTCAGAGTACAATTGATTGTTTTAAATAAAGTGAGGGCAAGTTTTAAGTGAAATATCCTCCAAAGAATATAAAAATAGGGTGCGGTTTCTATAAGGTTGTAACTTTAAACAATCCAATTAAGGCACATCTCCAAATTTTATCATAACATGTAATTTTAGTGTATTTTTTTTTTAGAATTATTTTAAAATCTATTTTTATATCTAATTATAAAATTTCAAAATCCAAAAATGGTTAAAATCAAATAAATCTATAAGCATATGAAAATCTTGAGAATAGACGGTGGTCTAGATAATGTGTTGCAAAATACATTATTTTTGGGACTCAAAATATTTTTTTGTTCATATTCATATATATTAAGGTCGAGATGATCAATTAGAGGATTTTTCAATATTAAAACAACATTTTCCGATACATTTTTGAGGTGCATCCATAATTCTACATTTTAAGGCTGCAACCTTTTATAAACTTTTTCCATAAAAATATATCAGAAGACCCTATTTTATAAGGTGAAAATTTCTATTTTCCTCACGATAAAGAATTTCTTAATCATTCTATCAATCGTTTCTTATTTTTTTATTTTCACTCACATACCCATGTAATTATTTTAATATTATATATATTTTTTAAAACAAGTCTTCCTTACTTCCCTTTCTCAACCAAATTGAAAAAGCCTTCAAATCACAGACACGGACCCATATAATTATTTTAATATCATATTTAAAAAAAAAGTCTTCCTTACTTCACTTTCTCAACCAAATTGAAAAAGCCTTCAAAGAAACTCCGATAACATTGATGTAGTTGTGTCATGGAAGGAGTCTTAATACTCGAGATGCAGCAGACATTTTCTAAGGATTGCCCCAATGGAATCGAGTCAAAATTTCCGAGGGTTAAAAAAAGAGAAGAAGTATAGAACCAAACTATTTACTTTTGATACAAGGTGGGTACATTAATATTTGATCATTGAATTAGATAGCTGCAATTATTCTTTTGACCGAGCTCAAACTTGAGAAATTTTTTTTTTCGAACTTTGCGACACATACAAACTATTAAATTTCACATCAAATGGTTCTAAAGAATCATGATTACTTTACATCAAAGGTAAATGATCTCATCGTATACAATCTCTAAAAAAAAAAAACTCTCACTCGCGAGGTTTTTTTATTTATTTATCTGAGAGGGTTACCTGCTAATTTGAACGAATAAGCCCCTTAGACCCTACACATTGTCATTAAGAGAGAGACGTATTAGATAACCCCCTGCCCTGTAATGGCCATATAAGTATTGCTCAATCTAAACCGACATGCTTTCTCCTACCAAGGTCACTACGCAACTTATGAAAGTTAAGTTTTTGGCACCATGCTCTTATATGCAAGGAGAGAAAACGACAGAGCATCTAAACCCTCAAACATAGTGTTGGACGGTGGATTCCTTAAAAGTGATAGCTACATTCCTTCCTAGGGCCAACATACATTTTGCTTTTAAAAAAGTAGAAATCATTGATTTTGAGACCCCCTTTGGATTCTGCACGTTCATGAGATATACTTGTGGTAGAGGTTACTTTGGCAAATCAGAGTTTCCACCTCAAGCGACGTAAAGGTTCGGTGAGTCTGCTCACTCATCTGTCTGCCATTATTTTCGCATCATTTTCCGTGTCAAATCGATAAATTGGGTGATGTAAAAATAGTGCGGTATTGACCACGTTTAAAGTCATTTTATTTATTTATTTATTTATTTATTCAACACGTTCGTCATGAATGTAGTGGTCGACATGATTGACATATTGAATTTTGAATCTGAAATCCGAAATCTTCTCCAAAATAGATTATGGAGGGCCGGACTTACTACGACAGATACGCCCTTGAACACACTGTAGTAAAGAATTTGTTGAGTGTTACCACCACCAACTACTAGGGCATCTTGGGGAAACTTACTCCTCTGAAAGATTGAATAAAACTACTCTTGAGAAGATCGAATTCCATTCAAAATCACATGGAGAATTCACATGAAGTCTAATTGATTCTCTCTTGAAAAATATAGATGTTGACATGCACACAAGTTCTTGCCACTCACTTGGAAAATCATCATTACCTTGTTTACTCTTCAGATTATCACACATTGCCACTTCAAGAAAAGCAATAAGACAACACAATTGAGATTCTTGATATTTTTTTGGGTACGATGTGTAAGGATGTGATTGATGCCAAGAAGGCAGTTAACAAAAAATCGACTCGCCCAAGTACTGGGCCTTGGCCCGAGCCGAGAAATTCGGATGAGTTATGTAACAGCCCAAAAAATAGTGAAAAAAAGCAATAAAAGACGAAACATTTCTAAAACACATTTAAAATTTAGAAAAATGTTGAAACGATTAATAAAATCGTAATGAGATTAAATAAGATGAAAAAACATTAAGAAAAAATTAGAACAAAAGAGAAAACATGAATTAATGAAAAAGTGGATTCATACTTTGAATATTTAGAAAATTTTAGAACAAAAGACAGAAATATGAAAGTCCGCAAATGATCCTAAAAACTAACAAAATCTTCTAAAGTAGTATTTTTAACCATTATTCTCTACTCTTTTCCTTTTTTTAATTTTCTTTTGTATTTTTATACTAGTTTTTCTAGCATTTATTTATGCCTGACAAGTTGTACACCTAACTCACTGGGAACACGCCTCACACATAGGCCGAGTTAGTCAGCTAAGTTCGTGTGGATTCCGCCAAGCCCAAGATATTGCCTAAACGTCAAGACTCAAGGAATTAGTCGGGATCATCTGCAAGTAATGTTGCTGCCTTATATAAATTTTTTGTTGGGTTTGCGTGGCCATTAAAGGCCTTGTGAGTGTTTGTAATAAGAACATTTGATATAGTGGAACATGAACTCAACGGGAGCGTGGTCCCTCATGGACCATACTATGCAAACAATGTTCACAGATACCGAACTGTGCTTGACGGTCTAGGCCAGTCGGTTGGTAAAAACCCATGTTACCTAGGCATAGAGTATAAATCGATAAGAGTTCTAATGAGTCATTCCTTGATGAGGTTGGAGTATGGCCCGATGAGTGAGCAGATGGACTATGTGTGATGGTGGCCTACATATACGGGGGTCAAAGCCTCATCCATGTACCATCACATGACATGCATATTGATAGACCGTATCAGGAAAGCAAACCACCTTCATGGTGAAGTGTATGCATGTGGGAGAAACACTCTTATGTATCATAGGAGCTATGGTTGCATCAAGTCTAAGTGACTTTAACTCGTCCCTAAAGGAAAACCTGAAATCCATAGACTGGGATTACGACCCCTTGGCTCATCAGCCAGACTTTGGTGACCTGTTAATGAGCTCCTGCTTGGACTGTGGGTCATTGGAAACACTGTGTCGGTCTGATAAAACGAGTGTGATTTGTAGTCTACAGTTGAAGGTGGAATGCCTCATGATTGTTGATTCAATTCTTAAACCATATGGATCATTTTCTCATCAATTTAATTTAATTATGTTTGTTTTATGATAGAAACTATTTTAGAATTTGAATTTTTATATACCTCTGTATATTTTATTTATAAAATTTGGATTTATAAAATTAAATATATTGATTTTACAATGGTTTAAATATTCAAATAATATTCTAAAAATTCTTTTATTAGTTTTAAATATATATAAAATTTATGAGGGTCCATTGTGGACATAAGTCCACCATATTTCTAGAAGGTGGGGCCCATAAGTGCCTTCTTTGGGTGGCACGCCCCACCTTTTATTCACTTGCTATATTTTCAAGATTTTGATATGTGGCCATATGGTTGGCTAATTATTGACTTGATATATCTTTGAAAAATTTTGTGAAAGTATGAGAAGGTTTGTTCTATTTTATAGAATACACAATATTTTGATTAGATAATTTTCTATTGATGGAAAAATGGTTTAGGAAAGGGGGATAGGTTCATGCGCATTTCATAATTTTGATGATTCATCTATGAAATGAATGATTCATATCTCTCACCCCACAAGTCACCTTGATCAATGGTTCACATTTAATCTCAATAGAAGAGGCAAAATATGAGAAACTCTAATAAACCCTAAACTCAAATTTTCATTATAAATAGGGGTATACCCCACCCTCTCTTATTCTCTACACCTTCTCGCTTCTCTCACATCTCTCTCTCCTCCCTCTCTAGGGGCACGCCCCACTCTCTCTAGACCTCTCTCTCCTAGCTTATCTCTAGAGAGGCACGCCCCAACCCTAGGCCACCTCCGAAGTCTCTCTCTCATCTTGATCAAACCTAAATGTTGGGTACTAGAGAATATGCTACATTAGGTCTTGGGGTTAGGACCTAGGTTCAAAGCTTGGGAGTTCTAAAAAGTTCTATAGCATAGTTAGACCTAAACTTGCTTTCCTAGTTGAGATTAAAGCTAGATCGTTGATTTCGCGCTATCGGATGACAGTGATTCGGTGTGGGATGTAATAAGCCCGGTTGAGGTAATCTTCGGTACTCTCTGTTTTTATT